ACCAATTATCTAGACAAAGGGTTGGCAAACTTTTGAGATGGAAGAGCCACCAGGGGTCGGCAAACTGCGGCTCATGAGCCACATGTGGCTCTTTGGGTACGTACATGTGGCCCTGAAGTAAAATTGAAAATGAAAACAAAACTGTCATAGTTTCATTCATAAAATTTTTCAAGGATATTATTCACATAATGGTGATGATGTAAAAATATATTTATGGCTCTCGAATAATGTTAAAATTGTTGTGAGGGACAGGATTGGCTTTTCCAGGGGTCGGCAAACTTTTGAGATGGAACTTACCCAAAGAGCCGCATGTGGCTCGCGAGCCGCAGTTTGCCGACCCATGATCTAGACCGTTTGGCATTGACCAAATGTCTCCATGGACATTTTGGGCAGCACTGAACATCTGCTAATTATAATTTCATGGGGCATGTTGTGGGGAGAGCTCAATGCGATTTTGAAGATCACAGCCATATATTGGCTGTACCTGCCGTACATGTACACTAGGCCTCCAGGAATCTATAAATATACTTCCACAAACTCTTCAGAAAATGTTTCATAAATTTATCCTCCCCCCATATGAAGAAGTGGTACTTTCTGGGCTTGTCTCAAAATTACCATACTTCTCCTTTCAAATGGTTAACTCCTTTCCACAGAATGTAAGGAAGCAATAAATTCAGCTGATGTTATTTATGTCACTGATGCTCTTTAAAATTTCATTTCTAAGCTTTTATTTGGTATTTTGCCCAGACTCTTAATTAATTTATTGTGTCTTCACTTGACAATTTTGTTGAACCCTTTTTCCTTTTACATGAGGTATTTCTTAAGGGATGAGTTCCAAGATAGGATAATGTTCAAGGTACAGTAATTATACCATAGTCTCAAAATTATGTTTCTTTTTCTTCACAGTTGCCTTTTTGTGACAACGTCCAGAATTCTTAGCCTTTCTGGTTGTAGAAGAGTTATGGCATATACAATTTTGGGTCATTTTTATTTATTTTTATTATGTAGATATAGGAAGCCTAACTAATCAGTGACATGGCAAGTCTTTTCACACCTAACCAAAATTAATTCCTATATTCCTATATTCATCATTTCAGTTAGCGGCAGCGTGGTCCACCAGTCCCCCAGCTAGAAACCTGTCCTTTATTCTACATTGCCTTCCCTCATTCCCAACCCGTATTTCCAATTAATCATGGAGTCCTTTCAATTTCACTTTCTACATATATTTTGACCCATTCCTTCTGCTCCCCTGCCCTCAGGTCTCATCTGGCTAACTTCTGAGTTCCTTTTATTATTTTTTTTTTAGTTAGTTTCAGGAGTACAAAACAATCTAATAGTTAGACATGTATACCCCTCACAAAGTGATAACCCCCCTCTCCCAATCTACTGCCCCTCTGACATTGTATATAGCTGTTACAGTTCCACTGACTCTATTCCCTATGCTATACTCTATATCCCATGACTATATATTTGTATTAAGTTATAGTTGACATTATTATTCAGCTTCAGGTGTACACTGCAGTGGTCAGGCAGCTACATCGTCCATGAAGTGATCTCCCTAATAAGACAAGTGCCCATCTGACACCCTACAAAATCTTCACAACATTACTGGTTATATTCCCCAACTATCTTCCAAATCCCCGTGGCAATCTTGTGGCTATCAATTTGTGCTTTCTAACCTCCTCTCCCTCTCCCTCATCTTTTAAAGAGTCAATCTCAGATTGACTGGATGAATGAATGAACAAATAAAACTTTCCTTCAGCCCCCCGCCATGCCTATTTTATATACCATACTGAGATAGAATAATGACTTAATTATTCAAAGGTAATTATGTTGACTATATAACCATTTAGCTTCAAAGCACTTTATGAAATTCTAGTGTTTGTCTTTGTTAATGATTTCACATTTTTTTTGTGTTTGTGTATATGTGTGTTTAAAAGAGGATAATAATTTCAAAAATTTGCCTTTAAGTATGACTTTCTTATCATTTTGTTTTTAATATCTCAGCAATTAAGAGCATTGCCTTTGTTGTCAATAAAACCTGGATTCAAATTCCAGTTTCCCATGGGGATGGGGGTCATACCTAAATACCCTTTGCTGAGTTAGTTTTACTTTGAAGCAGTTATAATATGAACCTCAGGCAGTTGTTTTATATGTGTTTGTGTGTATGTAGAGAATTCTGGGTGAGATACAGTAGGAAGACATAATTTCAACTGAGAAGTCAAGGTATGACTGTCTGAGGATGTGACACCTGGTGTACCTGTCAGTGCTTTGCCCCATATCCTTTCACTTCCCTTTGTTCACCTGAGACTGTGGGAAGCAGTTTCTAACATACTAGCAACTTTCTAGCTCAAGCGCTCTGTCTCTTCTTTCTGGCTGAGGGTACAGACAAGAGTAGTCTGAGGGAGAAGGGGAGCTAACCACCCCCAGGAGCAAACTTCAGTCAATATCGGGTGGGAGTTGATGGATACGGTCCCAATCTCCTGGCCTCCAGTGAAATGATTCGGAGGCATGTTTTTCTTGCTCTTTCTCAGAGAGCCTCCAACGGAGACCCGGCTCTAGTGGTCACACACCCAAAAATGTACCTATTGCTGATGTTTCTCTTCTCTTTATCTTACTTCTGCCACTTCCTTTAACAAATGCTCCCTAGGATCATCTTCCCGAAAAACTATCTGCCTCTCAGTCCTTATGTCAGGGTTGCTATTTGGGGTAGCCCAAACTAAACCAAGGCTTAAAGACTATGGAAGCCATGACTGACCAAGGTTGAGGGACAATAACCATCAGAAGAGACATCATGTAAAAGTATCCAAGCCAAGGAGTAAGAGTGGCAGGTGTAAACTAAAAGATGTTCTGTGTGGCTGGCTGGAGCAGAGGCTGTGAAGGGAAAACTGTGAGGTAACATGAGCAATCAGTGGTGGGCTGTAGAATGCATTTCACTATTTTGGCATTAATTCCAAGGACAGTGGGATTTGAGATTGAATGATTTGAAGTAGGGGAGTGATGTGCTAGATAGGAGAATGAATTGTAGGAGAATCAGAGCCAAGACACCTATGAGGAAGCTACTGCAATAATAGTGACCTACACTTGGGGAAGGGTGTCCGTGGTGCCTGGAGAGAAATTGCCCAACTGTTGAGAAGCTAGCATCTTTCTAAATCGGCATTGCTATTATCAGCGTGAAGCAGTCATGGTGATATTAACGAAGGTAAACTGGTCATTGAAACAGGAGAGTGTTTCACTCATTGATTGCGCTTTAGGATGGTGTAGTAATGAATTTTCTTTAAGGACTTACTTGCTTTTTTAAAAAGTCTTTAATTTATGTATGTGTGTCTCTGAATCTTACTCTAAAACTATTGAAATATTTGTGGTGGTTGAGAAACTAATGTCATATTTCCCTGGCTCGTCCTTGGTATAATTGATAGAGTTTGTCTTTGATAGATATTTAAACCAAACTCCTGTTGTGAAGGGAGAATGCCAAAGGTTTGTGAATTTTACCAATTTGCTCATGAGCATGAAAATAAATTAGAATGATGGAGAACAATATACCACAGCAATTGCCTTTAAAAAATTATTTCTGACACCTTCTTGGAGATATATGATTTTTCCATTGAAGCTTTTATTTTAGGGTCAGTAGCAATCACTCATTTCAGTTAGTCCCGTAAAAATGGGTTTTGTTGTTTCTGTTAGTCAGCAAAAACTAAAAATGATGATAAACCCGGTCTGAACATGCAGCTTTCACTGCAAAGGAAAGAAAGCCTAATTGAAAGTCACTGTAAATTTTGAATGATTAATGTCATGCCAAACAATTTAGTAGAAATCTCTGATGGATGTAAAAAAGCAATCATTGGCAAAATTGGAAGGAGCTAAATTCAGTCTAAATATACTTCTCTCTTTTTGTTTTAAATGTGTGCCTTCAGAAAGATGTACTATAGAAATTGTTGAATTTTAACACAATAGCCTTTTACTATTTAGGGAGTTTGTAATGCTGTTGGGCTCCAAACCAACTAATTAATTTTCCCCTGGATTCTTTTATTTCAGTCGATCATCTTTGTTATAACTCAGTGTTTTTCTTGCTTCTTGTCTAATAGTACATTTGGTTCGTATTATCTCAAACATACAAAAAATCTAGGGTTTTTTTGTTTCTTTGTTTCGCTTTGTTATTTTTTGTTATTTTACTATAAATGACATTATATATATTATATACATTTAGTATACTATGTACTATTAATATATAATATAGAATAATAAATTGTATGTATAAAATGCAAGCTTCAGGCCCCTTTTTAGAAAAAAGAGAAGCAAAATTTGTGAACTTTCTTCCTAAGCCTCCCCACGTTTTCTCTATACAAAAGTAGCTCTCCAGTAACCAGCATTTTTTATTCTTCGACTATACTTTTAAAAGTGGACATAATGTACTGAATCTGGAGAGCGCACTGCATCTAAAAAATAAAAATATCTGCAGGTCTAGATCTGTAGGTGCAAGACATCTTGTTCCATGAAACTGCCTTCCATTAGGGGATGTACAGAAAGCAAATTGAATACATAATTGTGTCAAAGAAAACCTTTTGATTTTTGTTCAATAGAACTTGACAGATAACATGTCTGCTGTTATGGAGAAGACAAATCAAACTAAAAAGAACCCCAGAATAAATTGCTCATCATGATGACTGGACCGATTTTCAATGGATATCTGAAAGGCAGTGGTGATGCCAGAGAGAATATTTGATTCAGACTTGAAACTCCCAGATCCCCTCTGTAAGCAAAGAACAGACCAACAGACTATAATAGCCCAACTTTATTTATTCTTTTCACATACTTCAAACATTTAATTACTAGGAAAAAAAATATCCTTTATTATCATCCCGGATTCAGGTTTTAAAAGGCAACTACGATAAGAGGGGTGTAAAGTAGAAGCATCATTTTTTTTTAAGTGGAAGGTACTTCATACTACATTTACTATTATACACATTATTGATTTTCTTTTCTGGTTTTGTTCCTTGCAGAGAGTGAATCTGTCCTTCGATTTTCCATTTTATGGCCATTTTCTACGTGAAATCACTGTGGCAACAGGGGGTAAGTGGTTTTCTACCCATTCACCCTAAATAATCTACAGTTTCACTATAGTTATTATTTTTAATTTACTCCATATTTCAGGGACATTTACTGGGAAAACCATTGCCTTCTATCACAAAGTTGTGGGTATAAATAACACCTAAGAAAAAGGAGTATAGCTATAGGAAAAAGTTTTCAGCAGGAAATAAAAAATGTAGTTATATTAATTTCTAGCTTAGATTCAGCACCTCTGCTTTTTAATAATTCATTTTTGGAAGTACGGTAAGACTAAACGAATGGGATTACAGCTAGCAAGAAAACTTGCTTAAGGAAACTGTTGAGGTATTTTTGTTTTCTTTTAATGTATATAGTTGACAGATATATATACACGCACATACACAACCACTTGTATGTCAGCTTTAATTGCTTGTTTTTTCCTTTAATGCCACACCTGTGTTGACTGGCTACTCATTTGAGAGTTTTAAAAATAAACACTGAAACTCAGCCTGAGTTCTTTTCATTCATTTGTTGTTCTCTACAAACCCTGGATATTAGTTTAGAGATTAGCAATTCCCTAGAAAGGCAATTATCAGTCCTTATAATTTTTCCCAGAAGTCAGAAATATTGTAATATTTGAGTGCTACTGGCAGAGATAAGCAAAATACCAGAGAATATCTCTGCAGGCCTTGTGTGTATATAGAGAAGTATAAGCATGAGAGAAAGGCATAAAAATGGAAGAGTAAGTAAAGAAGCAAATTAAAAGCAATTCACAGATTGTGATGAAAAGGCTGCGAGTGCCCATGCACCACAGACCACACACAGTTCTTTTCCCTCATCAGGTTTTATTATTGGTCTTTTGAATGGTATGGGAACCATGTTGCTCACTCTTGCCATATTTTAAGATAAAACTTTGCAGATATCTAGGATTCAGAAAAAGATCTGTAATCAGAAGTATCAATGATCAAATGAAAGTTTGTGATGATCCTTTAAGACTGTCTAGAGAAATTATTGTTTAAGGTGTTTTTTGAAGGCTGTCACAATGGCTATGGCTGTGGCTGTGTAGGGCAAATAGTACATGACAGGGAGGAATAGCGAAAGGAAATGTACAAAGGAGAAAATGGGGGGGGTGATGTTTGGGACAGGAAATAATTGAGTTTTAATGAAACTGGGGGCATGTTTACAAAAGAATGTGGCATAGTATGATTTAAAAAAGTAGGCTGCAGCAATTTTACCTAATACCTCAAGGGTCAATTGGAGTCATCTGTCCTTGGTTAGATAAGTATTAAGCTTTATGAAGATGAATCTAGACATTTGGGTAATGCCTTAACATATAAAAAATGCATAAAATTGGAAGAATATTGCAATAGTTTATGTGACAAATATTGAGAGCCTTGGAGATTCTGTGGCTTCAATCCAAGGGAGAAAAATTATGCCATGAACAAAAATTACACACTCAAGCAGAAGACCTAGTTTTAGGAAAAACCAAAGGCTTCAGCTCTAAAATTACTAAATTTTATGGAAAAAGAAGGACTATGTAGACGTAAAATTCACATAAAGGCTGTCTTTTTTAACTCATCATGTATTTCTGTGCTGCTATGGTGCCAGGAATTTCATAGGCATTTAATTAATATGTTGAAAGGTTGAATGAAAAGGAGAAAGGTAAAATTAAAAGATTGCCCCTATAAGCCATGAGTTACATCATGTTCTCACACATCTTTAAAGCATGATATAAATGTCATCATCTTACAATATGGACATTAGTCATATTTTCTGACCTTTAGGTTACCAGTGTTCCACTGAATTTTAAAGTGAATGATTAATCACATTTGTGCAAAAGCTATTCCCACAGTGTTAAGAATATGGACAGCTTTGCATTTTCAATTTCTTAAATTGTTTTGTCTTTAATCTCATGTCAGTGATTCAGCCAAAATGGAGTAAGATTTCCCTTAACAAAGTTGGTACGAAAAAAAACCCAAACAGATAACTATGTCATCTTTATTGCTCAAAGTACCATTGTCCTTTGCAAAGATCCTGAAGATAAGTTAAAAATCTGGTGTCTTGAAAGATCTCTGTCTTCTTTGAATAAAACACTAATATAAAAGGACTTTTTTCTGTACTTAAAATACGCTAGCATGGAACTTGCATATGAAGTCTATGTTTAGAGAGGCCTAGGCAAAATACTGTAGACACTGACCAAAGTTTCTTCGAAAGGAAACAAGAATCTCCTATAAAAGTATTCAGCTAAATAAGTAGCTTGTTTGTACTTTCATTGATTATTCATTTGATCAATATTGATTGGGCCCCTACTATGTGAAAGACACAGTCCATGATACCTCAATGTATATAGAGAAGAATAAACTATAACTTCTGGTCAGGAGCTTAGAAACTAAGAAGAGGAAGGGGTTTATGAATAAGTGATAAGAGAATGCTGACGGTAAGTGCTGATGGAGTGGAAGGTGACCCAAAGTGGAGATCACTCTTATTGGGCCAATCAAGTAAAGGTTTTGAAAGAGATAACGTTTGACATTGGCTTGAATGGAATTTTAGGCAAAGAGTCAGGTTGAGAAGAGGTGGATAGGGAAGGGACGTACCAGACAAGGGGATGCTGAGCTGCGTGACAGTGCTGTGCCCATATCGAGCATATTTGGAGGTCCATCAAGTAAGTGTGCTTATTTTGAATGGAAATTGGAGTAAGAGTCTCGTGAGGGGGAGGTGGGAAGAGTAATGTGAAGTACTTTGAACATTAGAAATTTAAATGATGTCCAGCAAGCATTGGCTTTCTTTGAGAAAAGAACAGATCTGGCCTGGCCTGGCAATGGGGAGCAGGGTAAGGTGAGGGGATCAAGGCAAAGGGAGTGGTTAGCAGCAGGTTTTTCAATACTTCTGCATGGTTCATAGTGACTGAACTAGGATGGGTGCAATGGAGAAGGAGCGAGGGAGGCAGGGCAAGACACATCATTTGATTTGCTAAATCACTGTGGCTGCAAAGGTTTCCAGCCAAAAGGATCCATTAGAATTCAGTGAATAAAGCTAAGAACACTTACAAAGAGCACTTCTGTACCACACACTTTTGATGGGTTTTGTCTGTGATCGACTAGGTGTTATCAGCAGATAGACCTACCCAACAATGCTCATCACCTTACAAATCTTAAATAAGTTACTAACAATGAAAGGCTTGGAAGAAAAATAGACCAGTCAGGTTAAATAAAGGCTATTCCAAATAAATTGGGGACTGGGAGTTTTATTGGGTTGTTAGAAAAGTCATGACGCATTTTTGCAATGAAAAACAGAAAAAATACATCATGGGTTTTCCGACAACCCAATAAGTAGGAACACATAGGTTTCTATGAAACTGAACCGAATAGCGATATTCTTGACTGTATCTACAAATTCTTCTTGAACTTGTTTCTTCTACATTGGATTTGGGAAAAAGACAGTGAAATGTTAAAGTAGATATTTTAAACTACAATCCTCATCATTTCTACCTCACTGTTTTCACATTTCCCATACCTCCCTTAAAATCAGCCAGTCTCAGTCTCTCTCTCTCTCTCTCTCTCTCTCTCTCTCTCTCTTGCTCTCTCTCTCGCTCTCTCTCTCTCTTCCTCTCTCTCCACACAGGCACAAATTTATTTAAAACTGAAATGAACTTAAAGATAATATTTTGTGTTATTGCTAGAGCAACACAATTTCAAAGCAAAAAGTAGCTTAAAAATACAGATATCTGGTCATTTATTTATGAACTAAAAAAATGAATCTTTGCTTATTAAGCATTTTCATTTTCAAAAGCTTCAATCATCCACACAAATAATACACAAAACGAACTGGAAATATCATCCTATTTTCTGGTTCACTAGTAGCAGAATCTGAGCGCATTAGTTTATCTTTCTATTTAAAAAATACTCCAGAATACAAATATTTCACATATTAAAAAATGATCTGTGCATTTCATAAAATTATTTCTATTAATGGCACCAATAAGTCATATTGTTTACATATCACACTGCCTTTTGTTTTCTTTCTATATGAAAATACTGGTTATTTTTTATTATTAGACTGCCAAGGTTGTCTTTTAAATGCTTCAAGAAGTAGAATTAAGTTTGAGGATTTGATTTTTAATTCCTGCGACCATCACTAGTAATATTTTTTCATGAGTCCACTGTGGATACATATAACTATGATGAGAAAAAAGAGTGTGCGTGTGTGTGTGTGGGTGGGGGGTGGGGTCGGGATAAGTGCTGCTTTATATGATGGAGAAGAATTGAAGTCATCCAAATCATTCTGGCCCCCAAATTTAAGTATGTAGATGTATGCTGATTCATAATTAAAATAGTGTGTGGAACTGCAGGCAATTGGACATGAAATAAAAAATCAAAGAAGACATGAATTAAAAAGATAATGATGACCATGTATTGTTTACCTTGATTATGTGAAGGATTTGCCCTCCTTTCCTTTCTCCACAAATTCCTAGTTGGAGATTTAATAAGAAAACTGTTTAGAATTTTAGATCTATTTTATTTTGTTTGCCACATAATTGATAAAATATAAAATGTTCATGAAGTAATCATTTTTAATATATGAAGAATTAATATATGACATTAAAAAAAGCCAAACAAAAGTAAAATATAAATCTCCCATCTTCCCTTGCGTCCTAGTCCACTAGTTTCTCTCCCAAGAAAAAACAACCATTACTCTTTGAGCTATGGTATATTCAGTTCAAATTTGGACTAATTTCCTATAGCTGGTCAAAATCATTTTTTCCTCCAAGAAGAGGGACTAAAAAGTAGTGCCTTTTATTTTGATTGGGTTTTCAAGAAGTATATTACCAAATGCTTCAGCTTCTTTTTTGTTCTCACTTTCAAATAGCAACATTTTAATTGTAGTTCCAAATAATATTTCATGCTTTTTAGAGGGACTTGATTCATAACAGTTATAAAAAAGCTTTTAAGAGCAGTAGAGAGGTAGTTATTACTCATGATGATCAATTTGTAAATACCAATCCCATCATTTTTCTAGTATATAACCTCACATAACAGAACTTGATGCATCCATTAACTCTCTGAATCTGGTAAAAAAAGTGAATGGAGTTATTTTGTCTTTTCTTATTATTATGAACACAGGTGAGAGATCATGGGTATCCTGTGATCTGATGCATGATGGGAAGGCACTGAAGAGATAGATGCTGGACAAAAGTAAACCCATTCCAATTTGGTTCACTAATTTAAAGTTAACACACAGCCGCAAGGATTCCTGGACAGAAAGATAAATTCTGTGATGTCTGCCTTGTGGTAACTAAATGATTCTCTGATTTACCTCTGAAAACTGGACAGCTCATCTTAGGAGCGCTCCTTGATAATTTACTCTAGTGCCCAGCTTCCAGCAGTAGATACGGCTGATATGCCAACATTTCTTTCCCCAGTGGCTTTATGAATTACATATTCACATGGCCTTTTGTTTCCATTATGTATCAACACATCATATTTCACTAGCACTGGATCTTTGTGGATGGAGGTGAAGTGTGGTTGAAGCAACAAGAAACCCAGAGAGAGGCCACCCAGCAGCCAAACTTGAGTCAATAGGAATAAGCCAGAAAAATACTAGAGGCAGAAATATGGGTAGAACGAAGGAGGACAATTATACAAAAACAAAAGACAGAGGTCCATTAGTATATGGTGGCTAAGTCATGACTGGGGACAGGAACCAGGGAAAGCTGATCAGCAGAGATGAGGTCTGGGTAAAAAGTAGCTTTTCCAGGCTTATCCTATTCCATTATCATGAATCTCCTTGTCACTAGTGTTTGGACATTCACGGAGGAACTAACATTTGTCTCTGGGAACCACCATTTGTACTCTGCCGGATCCAGGCTTTATCTGAAACATTGGCAACACATATTTTGCTTGCATTCTTCCTTAGACACTACATCAATAATTCAGATAAATACCGTATTTGCCGGCGTATAAGACGACTGGGCGTATAAGACGACCCTCTAACATTTCCACTCAAAATACAGAGTTTGTTATATACTCGCCGTATAAGACTACCCCCTCTTCCGCACACCTTCCACACACCAAATAAAAGGTAAAACAATATCAGATTTGATTTCAACATTTATATTTATATTCAAATGCTTATGACATGCAGGAAAACTGTCACAAGGCTGTATGTAATCAAACATATACATAAATCGCGATTCACGATTTTGCGCTATCATACTGGGTGTATGGTCGGCTGTGTGCGATTTTGCGAGTGTGGTAAAATCGCATAACAGCAAAATCGCATAACAGCCGAGCATACACCCAGCAGCACTGCTGATGCCTGAACGGTATGTGGAATGAAGTGGGCGGGCATCGGGAGGCCACTATGGCATGGGGCAAGCACTATGGGCAGTCTATCTGAAGTGTACCTGGCGTATAAGACGACCCCCCACTTGGAGGCATATTTTTCAGGGCCAAAAAATCATCTTATACGCCGGCAAATACGGTAACAATATGACACAGATGCTCAAATACATCACCCAGTTGAATGCAAAGGGAGTCTAGGTGACTGTTTAATTACAAAGCAGCACCATACAGCAGATGCTCTAACACTGTCCAATCCTTGAAAAGAAGGAGGGGAAAAAAACACAAAAAACACTAAGCAATGCAGAGCTGACCTCAGATCCTGGTCGTTTCAGGAATGAATTCAAAAGCGCTCCCTCAATTCTTGCTGAAGCAGCAACTGAAATTCATTTTCTCAGAGAAGCAGTCTGGCATCTAGGTTAAGACAAATGCACCCTTGAATCAGAATGTGTGGGTTCATAAGTCAAGCCAGTCACGGCTGTGTGATGTTCAGCAAATTCCTTAATCTCTCTTGCCTCAGTTTCCTGATCTATAAAATAGCATACTAGAAGTACCTAGGTCATGGGGATTTGTGTCAAGATGAAATTAACTAATATATGTTAATGATACCTAGTTCATAGAAAGTGCTACTGAAACAGCATATATTATTATTACTGTACTTTTCATATGTAAGTTTTTCCTTTTTTCCTTTTCAAAGTGCTTTCTCTCTAGCTGGGCTTGCTTGTTACAGTAGTTTGTCTATGGCTTTGTTTGTTCGTTTGTTTGTTTGATAGCATTATCCATACACAGGAGGTGTTTAGGGACTTAACTTAGCATCATCTTTAACTGCTCTCCAGTCATGACTGGGAGATATAATAGCCTGTAGAGGACTTGGGATGTTCTCTTTATCAGCATGGGTATATCTGTCATCCCTGAAGTGCTGTGTAAACTCTCCTCCAAAAAGCCCCCAGTACTGACATTCTGTGAATCTATAACTATCCAAAAGTCTTAACAACTTTGTAACACATGGCAGAAGAATTTTGAAATGTTCCTCTAATTGTGATATCAGTGGTCAAAGTCATTATTATAATCAGCAGACCATGCATATCATTTGCTTCTTATTTGTATAACAAGAACTTTAAGAACAAGTCATCAAAGCATAAAGTTAGTTATGCATAAAATGATGATGGGGATACAAGATGGACATTCCCCAGTGGCATCCAGGCTGCCTTTCATAGACTTGAGACTCACTTCGTTGCTAATAATCCAGTTTGAGAATTCATTAAAGACCTGCCCCAAATGCAAATTAAATATTTGTGTAGTTAAATTTATGTGTAATGTTTTACCTTTGAATTAGGAGACGGATATCCTGATGTGTACCTATTATTTCAATGGTACCTTTATTTTTAGGATCTTTTCCTTTTTTTTTTCCTTTTTTTTAACAATCCACTAAAAACTAGTAAGTATAATGTAAAAACAGCTCAAAATGATGCCCTCACTTCAACTGATACAGTTCTGGAGCTAAGACACAGTATTAAAACATAGTAGTTCTCAGTATTTTGTTGGGTATTTCCAGTGGGGTCATGGTGGGCTTACATTACATTGTTGATCTGACTCACCTGAAGACGGCAGAGAGATTTTCATTTAATCTGCTTGAATTAGTGTTCAAATAAGAAGGTTCTGCTGAAGGCAAAAAAGATGGGGAAAGTGCCTTTAATTGGTTTATTGTCAATTTCCACAGCTACTTTTAAAAACAAAGCATCATTTTAGTTAATAGCTTGTAGAGATAATCCACAGCACTTGTAGATTAATCAACAAAAATAAAAAAACTAAGAGCATATTTAACAATTAAATTTGGCAAAAAAGAAAACCTATATAAGTGATAGAGTGAAAACTTTTATTATCTTTTTTTATTGTGGTTAAAATATACATGGAATAAAATTGACCTTTTATGAATTTACTGTTTCTGAAGTTTTAGTCCTTGAGCTCAGCTCTGCATAAATGTTTTTTACTTTGATAAGCTGTAATCTCTTTAGGTAACTGATCAGTCATTCTGAGTAACCTAGACGCCCTGAAGAAGTTGGGTAAATGGCTGCCTGTCAGTGAAGGCATAGAGTCAGGGACAGACGCAGGTCAGAAGGGGTGACCTCCAGACCACAGGATTCCTCAGAAAGGACATTTATGTAGGACAACAGACAGCTGCTGGCCGCCTTCAGTAGACACACTGTTGGGCAGAAGGAAAGACTGGCCTGGTGGGACAGCCCGCAGATACCTCAGTCTAGGATTTAGTCAAGAGCCTATAGAATGCCGGATCTCAGGCCCAGCTATTGAAGCTACTCAGGAGGGCAGTGGTGCAGGCAGGGAATGGTATTAGCTATGTGTCTAAAAATATCTCTAGTGAGAAATCTGTGCCTTTGAATAGTGTCCAAGTGGCTTCCTCATTTCAGTGTATTCCTTGTCCAATAAATAACTGTCTAGTCTACATGTATATAGAATACACAAATTCCTTGCTTTTCCTATACACAGGTAGATGGCACGCCTCTCTGGTCATGGGCAAAAGGCATGCATTCCTTTTTCTTCAGGAGGCAGTGGTGTTTGTGCGATGGTTGGGCCTCCAGCATTTCTCCTGCAGCTTGGCAACGTGTACCAGGCCCTCACCTAGTGCAGGCTGGGGGAAGCTGTGTATTCAATTCAGTTTAAAAAAATCTCATTGTCATCGACTAAACTGCAGCTGCATTTTTCAATAGTTCCTGCTTAGCAGGTGGCTGCCACTGAATGAACTGATAAAAGGTTAGAATGAATAACAGACTGCTTCAGAATTACCTGGAATGTCTCTTTTTAAAATGTGGAAATCTGTGTTCTGCACAGACCTACACTGGCTGGTCTAGAATTTCGGGGGGAGGACCGTTGGGGGTGGCGGTGGGGGCAAGGGTCAGCAACCAGGTTAAAAGATGAGGGCAGGGGTTGAATGACCCTAGTAAAGGGTCTTTTCTCCTAGGGGCTGTTTCGTTTTAATAAAAAAGCAACGTTTTCTAATGTTTCACATTTCAAAATGCGTGTAAGTTTTGTATTTTAAATTTATTATTATTATTATTATTATTAAGATTTTATTGGGGAATTGGGGGAAAGGAACAGTGCTGGGGAATCAGGGAAGGGGTACAGACAAGTTGCTGTCCTTTTGTTCTTCCGTCTAGTTGTGGAGGACGTTGCTTCACTGGCCCATGTTGGTATTATCATTGCACTCTTCCCGGGTTAGGCAGTCGTTCGCATGCCATTGGGCGGTGGCTCACAGTGGCTCATGAAAGCTCACACCCGCTGCTGGTTGCTCACAGTAGCTCACGGCAGCCCACTGCAGCAGGGGCTGCAGCCTACGCCGTCGCCGGTGACTCATGGCAGCCCAGCTCCAGGTCGAGCTGTTGTTCACCATCTTAGCTGTAGAGGGCACAGTATCACTGGGCCTCATGTGGGATCTGAACCGGGGCCCTGCTGCCAGGGCTGGCGTCCCAAGCCAACTCCTAACCAACGCGCCACTCGGCCGGCCCTAGTTATTATTTTTTATTTGAAGAGATGGGAAAGCTGACTGGACAGTGTAGACTCCAAGCCCAGCCCCAGGCACCACCAGGCACCACCACTCCCCATTCAGTTAGACCTTCTGGCAACAGGACCTGAGAATCTGATTCTGAAAAGTTCCCCAGGTGATTCTTATGTGTATTCTACTTGCTTAGGGGATGAAACGCATTTTAAGAAACACAGTGCCTTTATGTACCATCTGCTCAATGAATACTCTGTAGTAAAAAAGAACTTATAAAAATCTTTCTCCTTATGCTTAGAGCAATTTAAGGTTTTAGGCAGAAACTCGACTGCAGTTGCCTATGAACCATAAAAGAAAGAAAAAAAAAAGTCACCACTCATTCCTAGATGGCTGACCTAATTACTTTCTTGTAATAGTTTGCTTGACAGGTCAAGATTTACACCACGTGCACAGGGTTGTTCTTGGAAGGCTCAATGTCACCTCTGTTTTGTGTCTGTCCCCTGGAGTTTTCCACTGGGGACAGGTACTTGTTCTTTTCATTTGTGTGTGTGTGTGTGTGTGTGTGTGTGTGTGTGTGTGTGTGTGGATTGGCAGTATGTAAAGACAGTTTGTGCCTGAAGTCCTGCATTAACTTTTCCCCAAACCTGTACTCTCTATGCTATAATATGGCTTATCCCCTCTACCCTGTTCTTTTTTATGTTGTTGTTTTTCTGCATATTCTTGTCAGCATTTCCCCAACGTGAAACCTAGATTGGCAGTCTCCTCTCAGCCTGTTCAAATTAACATTATAGTCATGAGCTATGTGGATAAGATCTCAAAGGGGGCATAGAAGAGAAGACGTTTTATTTTTTCCCTGCAAGAGGAGGATTTAGCAAGACAGGATCTGTCACAACCACCTCATTCGGATAATTTGTTCTTGAAATGAACATTTACAGTCACTCCTTGAAACATCAGGCCTGCAGCACACCAGAGCAGTTAACTTCAGAGAGGCGATGTGAATGCCAGTCTGAGTAACTGCTCTGCCTCTTACACTCGGCTCACATTAAAATCAATGTCTTTTCTAAAATTAAAGTCTTCCACATGAGAGCCCTTTGTATCCTAAATATAAACTACAAGGATGTATGCAAACCCATTTCTTTCCAATGTTCAAGGATAAAGAATAAGTGCGTAACTAAGAAAGAGTGTGCGTGAGTCCCCAGTCTTTGGAAGGCAGAGTTAAGAGCAAAACTGTCAAAAACACCATTGTAGAGGTCTTGGTTTTATGACCTATCAGTCGATTTGGGCTTGTTGGTTCACATGCAGGTGGCCCATCCTCTCCTGTGGGAGTCAAAGTTGCTTCCTCTTGGCCCACACAGGCGGGCACAGACCCCGGCCTCTTACCTGGCAGCAGCCACGTATTAGGTTTGCAGATGCCAGCCTTACTGTCCCCGCTGTGACTCGCAGAGGAGGTCTTCGCGTGTGCTGTTCAGCTTGAAGATACTGAGCATCTATCTGTCTGTAACCTACAGAATATTTCAGATAGTTTATTCACACTGACCACTTAGGGTGAAAATGGTTAGCGGGATGCATAGCTTAAGAAATATATATTCCAAGTTGTTCATTTCTGTGCAGCAAACCACCATTCATCGCGGTCCTTCCATTTCCCTTACACAGAGATTCGCTTCATGCCAGTAAATATCAGTGTCGTCCAGCGAGGTATTTGATTGTAAAATCCTGAGTGATAGATAGCACAGCCCCTGGGACCTTCTAACCTTAAGTGATTTTTCTCTAGCAGTAGATGAAGTTTAAGTATTTAGACCTTGACACTTGGCAGGGGGACCCATGATCCCTGATGAAGAGCCACTTGGTAACAATGAAAAAGCAATTTCTTAATCTAATGAAGTGGAGCCCTTAAAACTGGGGGTGATATATTCACAGTCTATTTTAAAAGACAAACAAACAGGCTCCACTTAGGGGCAGCCTTTCTGTCCGTGGAGAGTGGCTTCCGTATCCTGTGTTTTATGAAGGATTTTACAGCTATTTTTGACGTACCCTTAAAAACCTCCAGTGTTTTTAATCAGGCATGTGTCGCTTACAGCACTTGGTCACCCCCTCCACCTCCCCTCCCCCCGTGCCTGCACTTGAATGCTAATGAAATATGTCTCAGCTTGCCCAGAATGAAAGAAATGAATATATGAATTCCCATAGTAAAGGCTTTAAATCGCTATGCCTGTTTTTTCCCTATAAAATCAAAATGATCTTAACAGCAATGGGTCAAAAAGTAAGAATTTGAATACGTTAGAGCACGAGGGACCACGGCAGCCTGGAGGTGTTTGAAGCCTACTTGAGCTCTGTTTCTGACAGGCCGTCCCGACGTGTCAAGGCTTCCTCCCTAATGCTGCGCTTTCCGTGCCCGTGATTACATACATAGCTGCAGTGAGCGAGCTCAACGATCCCAATATGTATGAAATTAATCTCAGGGGAAAATCCAAAGGAAAATGAGCATATATCGCCTCACATTGAAGAAGAAAGCAGAATTATGAGTGAATGAGACCTTTCTCTGGGTGGAAGAGAAGTACTGAGGGTCAACATTTTAGTGACTTTTCATTAGTGCTAGAGTCCCCCATTTACAAGGAACAATGCAGGGCACTATTGAGGACGTATACCCGGAGGTATGGTCTCCATCCCCAAGGAGGTGGAGATACATGATACACCTATACAGGGAGGGAGGCTGTGGCATGCCTATAGTAGACGGTCCACATTTACCACTGGGCATTCAGCGCAGTGTGTTGGTTGAAGTGCAAGCTAAAGACTAATATGGCTTTGGTTCAAACCCTGCCTCTGTAATTAGTAGTTTTGTGCCTTCTTTTCCTTAGTTTTCTGATATATAAATTGGGTTTATCAATAGCACCTACTGTACAAATTGTTGTGAGAATCAAATATTATCACACATGTAAAGTGCATAGAATAGCCCTCTGCAAGTGCTAAACATTCAATGAAGGTTAGCTCCTTTTTATATTTTCTAAGGAATGTATCTATTTCACAATTGAGGAATATTACTACAGCATATAATTTTCCCCCAAAATTGTATTTGACCTTGTCTAAAGAATGTAGCTGCTGGGGGCCAGCCGAGTGGTTCAGTTGGTTAAGAGCTCGCTCAAGAGTGCGAGCTCTGAGCAACAGCGGTTCGAGTCCCAGCCCGAGCTGTGTAGCTGCTGAGCTGCTAACAGGTGGGAGGATGGCTCAGCTAAAAAAAAAAAAAAAAAGAACATAGCTGCTGGGATGCTGGGGCATAAGCTGAACTCACAACTAGTTATGAGACTCATTCCTGCATGTCCTCCTCACAGTGGGTAATGCTGTCAGTACTTAGGCAAAACCATAAATAATATACGTCATGGACCTTCAGAACCACTCACAAATAGGCAAAATAGGAAATGTTACATTAGTTCAGTTCAAAGATCTACCATTAAATTCACACACATACACACACACACACACACACACACACACACACACACACACACCATACTTTGTAGAGCTATTACCAAAGATTTTGGAAGCCCAGATTAAAAAACAAAGACAAAAAAATAACAATAATTAATTTCCACTGCATGCATCACAAATGGATTTAGAGAGGAAGTACCATTTGATTGAATCTTCAAACAAGGGTAGGATTTGGGTAGGCTGAGAAGCCGGGGAGGGGAATTGCAGACAGAGGAAGCAGAAATATAGGCAAACTGTGTACAGCGGATGTGGAGAGTGATGAGTGGTCCAGTGACTTGTGCTTGAGACAAATGGAAATATTTGCTGAGAGATTAGGCCACGGAGATGGGATAGAGGCATTATGTATACGTCCTTGAAGGAGAAGGCTAAACTTAATTTAGGAACCAGTGAGGTAGCCATGGAAGGTTTTCCAGAGGAAATTACTGTGGTTATTTCTTTGTTTTCATTGTGACAGGTGCATGGAAAGCAGGGTCCTGGCTGAAAAACGCGGCTGCTGGAAAGCAGCCCCATTGTCTGGTTAAAAAACAGTGGGACCTAAACTGGACCAAGACAGAAGGCTAGAAAGGAGGGGACTGAGGAAGGTGATAGTTCATTGACAGAACTCTTATACATGGTAGTTAATTGAGAGCGGATGAGAGCCCATGAGAGAATAACAGTTAACTGAAATTAGAAACACAGGATAAATAGCACTCTGAGGCATTTAGTGATAGTCCCACCCTTATTTTCACATGGGCTCTATCTTGACTTGGTAAAGATGAAAATGGGCATTTGTTTCTTTATCCATTGTTTTTTTTTTGTGTGTGTGTGTGTGTGTGTGTGTGTGTGTGTTTTCAAAACCTTTTTGCAGCTGAGTAAAGACGAGGGGAAAGCCCAAGTTCCCTGGACTTGCACACCCTGGTAAGCCATGGGGCTTGTGGAGTGGCACTGCCTTTGGCACAGCTGAGTGTCGGGGAGGTTGGCTCACCACAAATGGAGCTGAGCCTTCACCACTGGGTAAGCCAGCCGCCCTAAGTGCTGGGTGCCCGGTGCCCACAGATGTAAATGGTGGTTCATCTCTCAATCCTGTACCACGAGAATGAAATAGGAAACAGGAAAACAAATCCAAGTATATTCTGGGATACCGGGTTATTTTTTTCAAGTTCAAGCATGATTCCCATCAACATCAAGTAACCGGAACTATTTTCCACAGAAAATAAAGGCAAAGGCAAAACTGGCATCATTCTTAGATTCACCATCACAAGCTGAAATCACAACAGATGGTTAGGAGGTCATAAAATCTAAGGAAGAAGAAGCACTGGTGATGAGCAGAATAAATGAACTAGATGGGAGGGAAAATATGGAGGGAAATGGTTTGTGTAGCTCTTTCACTTCCATGCCCGGGAGACATTACAGTGTATATAGGGAGACATTACAGTGTATATATTTAATCTTGCTTTGCTATCTACATATGTTCTTATCACTTATCACTGGTTCACCCTTCCTTATTTTCTGCTATGTAAATGTAATGTCTAAGCTACAATTAATGCCTTCAATGGGGTCATCTGTTGGCAGGTAAAAGCAAAGTTAGAGAAGGTCCTGAAATTCTGAAATTGTAGATTTTTCTTATGCATACTATATGCGACTATTCCATAAACATTGTAAATATATTGCACACTGAAAACTAAATGGCTTTGGTGTAAACTTTCACTACTTAGCTCTTTTATTGAAAGCCCCAGAAAATAATTTTCCCCCAAAATGTATCCTAAAAGGGGAAAGTTCACCACATGTTAATAATAGTTGGAAAACCATACTTTTAAACCGTGTTAAGAGTATTATGAGTATGGTGTCCCATAGGTAAGTTTCTAATAGTACAGATTTTTTCCTAGAATATCCAGTCAAATGTCTGATGAGTAAAACTTCAGACACAGTATCCTAAGGTAATAGGCAATAAATCATTTTCTACCTGGATGGCACACAGGATGAATGTAGCCTTGTGAGCTTGATCAAATTGCTAGCTCCCCCATGATTTCAAACGTCAATATGCAGATATATCCAGTTTGGAGCTCTCTGGGGATTCCAATGGGAACCCCAAAGGCAATACTGAACTCAACACCCCACTCCCCACTCCCTACCACCAGTGTACCCCTCCCACTGTGTTCCCAGCCACCGTGAACTGAACCCCACCCACTGCTCTGTTCAGGCCTGAAATCTCACTGTCGTTCTTGGCTTTTCGCTGCTCACAAATTCTTGTCACATCTAATAATTACCGAGTCCTGAACAACTGCACTATTGAATCTTTCTCTAATGCAACATTTTGTCCACATGCTGTCTTCATATCTTCACCTTTACCCTCCCTCCTGGATAACCCTAGTAATCTCCTAAATTATTGTTTTTCTCCTCATCTTGCCCCTCCATGCTTGCCTCCATATGACGAAATAATCTTTTGAAGGGGAGGTATGTCTTTTCTGCATCAGCAGGAATTCCATGAAATGACAGCTGTTCATTTTTCCAACTTTGTCCCTTCTCAAGCAGCCCTCCTGCACTGAGTTTCAGGCATTTAAATACCTCTGGGTTCCAGTCACCTGATCCCCTCTCTCAGGCCCTTTTACTGCTCCTCCTCGGATTCCTTACCTGCATTATCCCTGCTTGTCCTTGATGCTCTTCTTCATAGACAACATCCCTGGCCCAGGACAGAGCCAGGCATCCCTCCCCTGTGCCCTGCAGTACCAGTCCTCCCCTCCTGCTGTGGCGTGTCTGCTCCCCTGTACTGCACCTCCCACCTTCTGTCTCCCCCACTCACCTCCAAGCCTCCTGAGAGTATGGGTGTCAGCCCAGCCCCTGGGCCGGTACCAGTCATGATAAAGGCAGTTCATAAATATTTGCTGGATAAATACACAAATGAATTTTATAGCTCCAAAACAGCCTTAGGCAAGTATTTAACTAATACAATGTCCATGTGATAATTTCCTCTATTCTTATAATGTATAAACCTGAGATTATAAATGCATTACTGAAATAAATAAATCTAGGGATAAAACAGGGAGTCCATTAGATTCAACAACTTCATGCATAGAAGGAAATTGCCATAATGTTTATTGTGGTTTTCTCCTTCCTCCCATGTTTTATTTTAGACTATAATTGAGGAGAATGTATGTGATCAATAAATCATAGGATGTGAGTTTATACTGATTTTTTTAGTACAAATCTCTTCTCTAAAAAAATGTGCATAGGCAGATTTGATTTTCATTGAGGATTCAGCACCCTTGCTAAACTAAGCTGCTTATGAGCTTTGGTCCCCTCACCACTGATGCTCGTAGTCATGATGGCGGCAGTTTTGGGCTGCCCACACATGATCTCCCAAGTGCAGGAATGTTTATTGTTCAGTTAGGGAAATAAAGCAGTATTAATTTTTTAAAAAAATTTATCTTATAAATTGGTTATTGCAAAACAAAATCTTTAAGACACATGAGGGAAAATAGCTAAAAACAGACAAACAAAAGCCTTGCTTTTAAATTCAGATAAAATTCTTTTGTAAATAGTGGCTTATTCTGCTCACTTTCCACATTAACTGGAAACAGCAGAAATGTCAACAGAAATTTATATTCTGTGTCTTAAATGGAGAAAACATAAATATACATAGAGAATATGCGAAAAAACCTAGAAACATAGCAAATAATTTACAGAATATTTTTCTAGCTATTAAGTCTTCTATAAATGACATCTACATCTGTTGATGAAGTAACTGGATTTTTAGCTGAAGAAAAGGAACATAATATGATGTGCCTTGATGAAAACAGTTTCAATATGGATTAAAATATATGAGATAATCATCCTTAGCGTTAGGTTGTTCCAATTGCTATATACAGAAGTTCTCAAAATTATTTGTTTTAATTCTGACACATCCTAAGACACAGACAGAAAGCATTCCTCTCAAGGCTACACAGAGAGGTTCCCCTAAGATAAAAACTCACGTGGGTTTGATTTCCTGTCCAGTCTCCTGCCAGAGTCTCTATTTCATTTCTGTCAAGGATTGTGCCCTCAAAGTGATTCCTGGAAGAAAATCTATGACTGGAAGTGATAGAGGGCTTGGGCAGCCTTACAACTGAGATTTCTTATCTGCCCCAGCAAAGAACAGTAGCGCGGCTCCCACAGGAAGTTGCAGAGGCTGTGATGTTATTTATAGGCATCACTAGGACCTTACGCTTTTCCTTCCCTTCCCTCCCTTCTCTTTCCTTTCTATCTAAGAAAGGAATGCTGTTGTTACCATGGGTAACACAAGGATACTGTGTTTGAAGTGTTATTCATTAGACATTTGATTGGACATTTTAGGAAAAAACCCATAATAGAGATCTGTGCAAATGGGATGCCATACTCATAATTCTCCTAATATTTTTTTTAAAGTGTGGTATTTTTTTCTTACTAATATTAACATGTGGCATACCTTTATCTTTTAGGATATATTTTGTGGGGAAATTATTTTCTGAGGTCTTCAGTGAAAGAGTTACGTGATGACAGTTTCTGTCAAAGCCATACTGTATTCTGTGTACATCTGTACAGTGTTTATGGAATAGCCACATATATCGTGCATGAGAAAAATCTACAGCTTCAGGATTTCAAGACCTTCCTCTAACTTTGTTTTTTACCTTGCTAATACATTGCATTTATTCAAGATGCATTTGCTGAGAGACAGTTACAAGGAATAGCTAGGTGCAGTAATGACAAGAGGAGCTGACATCCCTCTAGACCGGGGGTCGGCAAACTGCAGCTTGTGAGCCACATGCGGCTCTTTGGGTACCTTCTGTCTCAAAAATTTGCTGACCCCTGCTCTAGCGCAATACTGTGCAGTACAGCAATGCCATCCATGAATGTGAGTATACACGTTCTGTAAATTTTTCTAGTAACCTAAAAAGTGACATAGACAGGCGACATTGATTTAAGAACATATATATCCAGTATGTTAGCATTTCAACATAAAATTAAAGTTATCAATAATATAAGCTACTTTTATCATCTCAGTCTTCAACATCCAGTGTGTGTTTCATGCATAAAGCATATCTCAATTCAGACCAACCACCTTGCATGTGCTCAGAAGTCACACTGTGGCCCCTCCTACCGCATGGGGCTGTGTAGGTGTAGAAGCTCGAAATTTACTAGGTACAATAGGTGCCCTGGGAGTCATGTGTTTCTAGATGTATTTACAAAGTGATATGGAAATACAAAGTTAGGAACAGCTAAGTAACTTGGATAAAGGGGAAAGTAATTTAGAAAAAGGTTTTTAAAGGAGCAGATCTGTGAGCTATCCAGGAAAAGGAGCAAAAACATACCAGGAATAGGAAGGGGACGGACCAGGCGTAAGTGGGTATCTTCCAGATTTCAACTCACTTGGTAATTCGTAGAGTATTGGGTGCAGTGAGGAGGGCGGGGTGGATGAAGACGAGGCAGTGGCAAAAGGTATGAGCAGAAAGTAGGTTAAAGATAGAATCACTAAAAATCCCTTTGGGTGCTATGGAGGAGTATGGATATTATCTGGCACACAACCTAATGCCACTGGATTGTTATATACAGGGGGGGTTTGAGATGTGATTCATGTTTTGGATAGATAATTCTGGTGGAGTTGTAGAGCAAATTGGGGTAGGGTGATGCTTAAAGCAGAGAGCACTTAAGAGGCTCTGGCATTGGCCAAAAGGATGTTTGGGAGATTAGTTGACTTATAAAAAAGGTTGCATGGTCAAATAAGTTTGTACAGTATGGGGTTAAACACGAATACATTTATATCCTCTAAGATTTTTCAATATTTATGATGCTCATGTTCACTGAAATTCACAAGGGAGATATGGTATGTAGTTTTTCCCAAATTAATTTGTCAACTGGACTCTTGTTTTTTTCCAGGACCATCTTGCAGAGCCAGTATTCTCTGGAATACTTGGCAAATGCTGATGTAGGAAAAATTTTAGCTTGAATAACAGGAGGGCACTGTGTGAGATTTCAAAGGCCTTTCCACTCTGTTTCTTGTCCTAATTAGGATCTTACTTGTAGGCAGCAAAACCCTCTGTCCACATTTCAGTTTGATTAAATTTTTGCATACGTCCTTTTTTTTTTTTTTTTTGATCAGAGTTAGAGAAATCACTCGTGGATAGATAACAGTTTTACCATGGAAGGAAATAAAATTATAGGGGAAGAATTGGGGCAAGAAAGAAATCAAAAAAGAAAAAAAGAAGAAAAGAAAGAAAGGAAAGGGGAAGGGAGGATGGGATGAGAGGAGAGGGGAAGGGAAGGGAGGGGAACACGAAGGGAGAGGAAGAGATTTAAAAATAAATACATAAATAAATAAAAAGGAAAGGGGAGAGAGTCACCAGTATTTAAATAGCTGGCAGAAGAAAACAGCAAGTGGAGAAAACAGAGTCAGGCGTCAAGGGAAGGGAAAGAGGGAGGATGGTACTCAGACTTTAATGGAGGAGAGAGTTTCATGACAAAGGGAGTGGCCAACAGCGCCTGATGTAAAATGGAATCAAGCAGGAGAAATCTTCATGCTGTGAAGACTCCAGCTTCTATCCCATAAGAAGTATTCATCTATGAGGCTAAGTGATTGTTTCAGATGTTTCATTACTGAGATTTTCTTTCTAACCTTGAAAGTTCGTGCACGTTTATAAATATATGTGTTGGGGAAGGGAGTGAGGATACGAGGGTTCATTGATGACTACAAAAGCCTTAGAAGGATTTGCAAACACCAGGCTCCCCTCAAGGCAGGATCTGAATATTTGTTTCATACATGAGAAAAAGCAAAATGAATTCCCTTCTTAGAGTTACCCAAATGAGATCTTTGGAAGAACACTTCTGCAGCGTTTCCTTTTGGCTGGCTTTCAGACCTATCTAGTCATTTCGTTTCTATCTGGTAATCTGCAGATTGCTCTCTAGTTGAGCCTTGGGAATAGAGCTCTGATGGGCCCACTGAGCGAGATCAGCGCTTCGAATTGATCCAGGCGCACTTGTCCCCCGTGAATAAGTAATTTAGAGTAGAGAGCATATTTCACACAGCCAAAGTTAAATGACGTCTTATTTCACCAAGAAGTAGGTCATTTGAGTCAGGAGACACTGAAAGTGTGCTTAAGATAATTACGTGGAGCAGGTGGTCTTCACAGCTAGTGCTGACTTTGATGAAAGAGAGATCATAGTCTGAAAATAGCCCATGTCATGTCAAGTTCTGGAGGGAAAGAAGGAAAAATTGAATAACTGGCTTTGAAGTGAATACCGATATTCTGTCATCCCTCATTTATTTTCCATGGTGAATTAAAGATACTATTACTGTTTTAACCTCGTTTCTGTAGGAAAATGGACATCATTGACCATTCCCCATTTCTTTAATTTATTCCTTAAAAACTTGTCCCTATTATTCCTTTTGGATTTAGCATCAATCCATTTGTTTTTACTTATAAATTTATTTTTCCAAACTTAAGTTCATGAATGAGTAGAAAAAGAAATGCTGACTCTAAAGCCAGTAGAGTATCAGTAATATATCATGTGTAGCCAGATCCAATTTTGAAAATGCCCAGGCAATTTCTACAGAAGTCAGTGGAGATTGCTTATCGATGCCTATGGATCATGTAAAGACTTGTTCCAATTTGAAGCAGCACATTGCTGAAAATATATTATTCCCTTGAAGTGGAAATATGTGAAGAGTTAATCCTTTTTTTTACAAATCATTTTATTCTTAAAGTAATACTCTTCTAAAAATAATATGACTTCAGGGGTGCCCGGTTAGCTCAGGTTGTTAGAGAGTGGTGCCGATAACACAAAGGTTGCCAGTTCAATCTTCACATGGGCCACTGTGAGCTGCGTCCTCCTTAAAAAATAAAATAAAATAAAATAAGGAGAAAAAAAGAAAAAAATAATAATAATAATAATAATGACTTTAAAAGTAATATTATATTACTTAGTCTCTCTGTAGTCTCTGCGGCAGAAATAAAACCTTAGTTTCCTATCTGTATTAGTTTCCTTCGACTGCTGTAACAAATTACCATTCAACTGGAAGGCTTAAAACAACTGAAGTTTATTCTCTGACAGTCTGGAAGCCAGAAGTCAGAAATTACTATCACTAGGCCAAAATCAGTGTCGGCACTTAAGGCTCTAGAGGAGAAAGTATTCTTTGCTTCTTTGCCTCCTCAGTCTGCATGCCTGGGCTTGTGAGCACATTACTCCAATCTTCAAGGCCACTATCTTCTAAGCCCTCTCTGCTCTATTTCCACATCATTATCTTGTGGTGTGTGTGTGTGTGTGTGTGTGTGTGTGTGTGTGTGTGTGTGTGTAAGTGTGTGTAATCTCCTGGCACTTCCTTATATAAGGTTGCTTGTGATTGTATTTGGGGCCCACCCAGATATTTTGGAATGTTCTCCCTACTGCAAGATCCTTTTTTTTTTTTTTAAGCTGAGCCATCCTGCCACCTGTTGGCAGCTCAGTGGCTGCTCAGCTCGGGCCGGGAATTGAACCGCTGTTGCTCAGAGCTCAAACTCTTGAGCAAGCTCTTAACCAACTGAGCCACTCGGCTGGCCTCCCACTGCAAGATCCTTAACACTTAAAGATCTGCAAAGACCCCTTTGCCATATAAGGTAACATTCAAATGCTCCAGAGATTAGAATCTGGATATCTTTGGGGCGTGGGGCCTTTTTCAGCCTATGACACTACTCAATACACATTTCTATTTTCTTTCCTGCTAAAAGAATCCTGAGTTTTGTTCAAGATGGCATCATCACATAAGATGGAGGCAATGACTTAGGATGAATCTAAACCAATTATGCCGTCTGTCTCCACATGCTGTACAGCTATGGATGGCCCTATAATCCAGTCCTGGCAAATGAGATGTAAGAAAAAATTAGTTTGCAATTGTAGTCTTCAGAAAGAACAGGTATGACTAACACTATCTCTGGCCTTATTTTCCACCTTGAAATCAGATGTGATTTCTTGTTACTGAGGAACGAGTTGTGATCATGAGGCAAAAAAAAAAAAAACCTATAAAGGGAAAAAAGTGGCAAAACTAAAGATGGGAAAATTGAAGGCAATTCATTATTAAGCAACTGAAACAATGCCAACAACTGCTCATTCCAGACTTCTTAGTATGTAAAAATAGAAAAAGAAAAAAG